CATTGGTTAGAAGTAAATAAATAAATTTTGTATAATATTATCTGAAAATAAAAAATTCAGCACAGCCATTTTGGTGTTTAGCACAAGACTGTTTTTCAAATATCAACTGAATGCAAACACCTCAAATTTCACTACTGTATTTATTCAAATCAGATTGAGTTGGAATTTTGGGTTAAAGCTTGAATAGGTATTCACTTAATTCAATCAGAATAGGAAAAGAAAACAGGAGAGATCTGGTAAGATCAGCCAATCGGATTTGGCAGGTAGCTGGAAAAATGTCCACCCGTAACTTGTACATAGATCTAAGTTACAAGGAAGGTAAATGAACAATGATAACACAACTCAGAATTTTAGAATGACAATGCAAACAATCAACTTTTTATGAATTAAGAATAGAAACGAATTTAAACAACTCCAAAAATATTGATAAATACAGCATGCCGTAATTTGCTAACAAGGAAAAGGAGAGCACAAGAAAACATGGAAGTCTTTGCATTGACAACTGAGAGAGAAAAATTACCACAATAGCATTTGAAAGATCTTGATGGGCGTCATCAAGTTTCACAGCCATTTTGGCAATTTTATGAGAAAGAACTTTTTGCCGAATAGTCCAATCAGAGTTTTTCCAAAGGCCCTTTGGGATTTCACTCAACCCAAATCCAAGAAGAAATGCACCTGTAACAAGTCCAAAAGTATTCGAGCAGCCCATGGCAAAACCAAGAACACCTCCACCCCTGTTAATTAAGCAAAAAATGGAAAAAACAAATAAATGAGGAATGGATAGGATAGCTCAAATAGCCAAGGAAAATCATAAAGAAAAAAAAAATGATGAGCCCTGTTAGACTGGCTGCGACATTATCTTCTTCCTATTGTCCTAGCACCTTGGTGCCCACACTAGAGTTACAAGGTACTTATTCTTTTTCAACTTCAATGTAATTCGGTACAATCATCTATTGTCAAAAGAAATGATTATTTCATAGGTTATTGGGAAAGAAGAATTTTCCACAAACATGTCAGGGATGTGAAACTCCAACGTGTGTTCTTAAATTAAACTGATACCACATCAAATTGCTCTTACTGTCAATGATAAACTATGTGCAACACACTGTTATTAATCAATAACCCAAAAGGTCGAAAGTTCTTCACTGTTTCCTTAAATCATTTCAGAGCATAAAACCAATGTTTCCTTAAATCATTTCAGAACACAAAAGAAACAGATAGAGGAATAATTTAGTATTTATCACATAAATGGGTATGCAGGGCCATTTGAAATAAGAAATTAACAACTTATTTAATGTCTCTAGACTCCTTATAGGCAACATTTATGAAGAAATTAACATCGGCATGAATATAAATCAACTTTGGAGGACAAGGAACAAACCAGTTTTTGTGCATACTGATGAGAAGAATTAATCCAATAAGACCAATAAACCCCAGAATTAGATAGAAAACCAAGTTAACATGTACACTAGTCTTCAATCTCTCTGTCACAGTGAAGTCCCCAGCATCTTCAAAACCCTGAATAAGGGGCACCACAGTCCTGCTCAGAGACAACTTAGAAGTATGAGGAAATTTGCAAGTTAGCTATAAACGCATTTATATATACATAATGCAATGATTTATCCAACCAAAGGCAAATTGAAGGGGCAGATAATCATGATTGAAAATCTTAAAATTAGAAATGGTGCAGAATTAACACTTCAAAAGTTCATTAACGAAACTCAACAATAGGGTAGAATGTTCCTAATATTTCTATTTTACCAAAAACTAATCTTCTGGAAAAGCGAAAACACAAATCAGCACATATAGAACAAAACATATAAACTTTGAGTAAAAGGTCACAAACACAGAAAAGTCATTTAATGGAGCTTATTCGACCAAATTTTGTTAAGCAATTGCATGCATTATACATGTGTCCAATGACAATAACAGATCCTTGACAATAATGTTAATCACCAAACCAAAGATAGAGGATAGTAACAGCCAGATAATATACTAACTGAAATCTTGAACTAAACGCAACTCAACTATATACAAAATATAGAATAGAGCAAGTAAAAGAGTTAATTAATTTCCATGTTGCGTACCAAGTTAGTAAAAATGTACTCCAATATGACCAGCTCCAAAAGAAAGAGATTCCTCCACTCTCAATATGGTTTATCGTCTGCAAATGTAATCAGAGAATCAGAAACATTCGCGAAATCGCTAATTGTTGCATAGCCAAAACAATTACAAACATAACAACTTGAGCCATTACATAGAGTAACAGATAGTCCTGAGCTGGCAAATATACAATTGGTAAGTTGAACAATTGAAACGATGTTTTCTTGCAATGAAACTAATTTTACATCATCTCAATGTTAAGAGAGTAATTGCATACTAATATAACGTAAAACTAAAGTCCCCAACAGGGCTACTTTCATTTTCGAACCGAAAAACACAATGCTTGCTGATACAAAATCCGCCACCCAATTTAAACAAAAAAAAAAAACAAGCAAACAAAAGGGCTTTTGCATTATTACAGAAAAAAATTAGGCGAGCTAAACCGAGCTGCAGAGAAATGTAGTAAACAACCAGCTGCAAAATTTTCTAAAAAATGCACCCAGTTGATTAAAAGACCTCCAAATTCAGAAATTTACAAAACCCTAATAACCGAATCGAATTCAAACAACCATAAACCGAACGAAACGACGCCGAAATTGGGCATGGAAAAAGTACCGTCCATATGTCGGCCGGCACAATGACGATGATGGAGAGAGAACAGAACCAAGTGTACCCAACGGTAAGCATAACATATCGAGGGATCTCCGGGCCGGCGAAGTACTTGAGCGTGAAAAGGACCATGCCCAAGGTCAGGGGGAGAGAGATCAGGTAGAAGACCCACATCTCTCCTCCTTATTCTTCTTCTCTAGCAAATACGACGAAGTTTTGTGAAACGAGTCAATTGGATCCGACGACCCGATCGCTGCAAATGCGAGGAGTGGACGACCGTCGGCGTTTGGTTGAGTTGCTCCGTGGCATGCGGTCAGAGAGTCTGAGGAGGTCGGAGAAACGAGAGTCGACAGAAACGTGGAAACGTATAATTATATGCGTTTTATTGGATTTGGGCTTTTGGAAAAGTAGGTCCACAATCCATAAGGCGGTCTCGAATCTGGATCTATGAGAGAGAGTTGGACTTGAAGAAAACCGTTGGGTGCGTTTCTTTCCTTCAATTTGCTTATTTGCCTAAGCTAATGAAATTTACAACGATATGATGTGATGTGATATGATGTTTCTATCGAAATATTTTTCTCACCGATTTTTTTTTATTTATTTTTTTAGTTAAACAATAACGTTGGTAAGTTAATAGTTGTTAGAACAGAAGGAAATTGGTAAGGATCAAGCCCGCACCAAGGTGCGTAAGCATAATTGCTTTCGCCCTTGCAGTATAGCGCCGTCTGCATATGCTCACCAATTTTAATTTAACGTGGTGATGATGTTCATCATTCTCCTGATTGTGGTTAGATGAGTTTGATTTTTTTTTTTAATTAATATTATTAAGTGGAGGGAAAATGGGAGAATTCAAAACTATTACAATAATTTAGGAAATGGAGAATTTCGAACCAAGGACTCATGGTGAAAACTCAACATCCTATCTACTAAGATATTGGACCATGTGCAATTAGAGTTTGATTGGATCTATCAACTATACAAATCTTAAAATTTAAACTCATATATACGCTCAAAATTGGTGAGGTCAACAAAGACCAAGACGGTCGTGTGTCGACTCTTAGTGGGCTCAAGGTTTGTGACTAACAAGAAATAGACAATGGATTTTTAAGCGGTTCATCCTTCAAAAACTGAGCTACGTCTACTGAATCTCTTGAATAGATTGAATAGAAGGTTACAACAGCTCAACTTAACACTATATTTTCTCTATCAATTTGCCTGGCCCCTTCTAAGGAGTACTTGTCATCCTAATTGAGCTTCCATTCTTTGCGCTCAAGTGTATCATCTCCTTCACATTTAGAATGCAAAATACACAGGTTTGAACTGCTAAATGTCCCTCCGCTCTTTGACTGACACGTGGCAACAAGGTGACATTTGCACAGGTCCATTTGCATGATTTCTTGGGACAACGCATGTTGAGCGCCTTGTTCAGCTGTGGAGTTGGTGAAAACCCGCACCCAAGCACCCCATCTATCAGCTTTTTATGTCCCTTCATAGTCCTCTGTTCTCTCGACTGGCCGCCACTTTGCTTGGAGTGATGTCTAAATAGGTTCGCCCCTCTATTCTTGGGACCTCGTGCCATAAAGCGCAACTTGCCCCTTAGTTTGAAAATACTTTATGGGGAAGCACTTAGTCGAGTAGCTGTTAGGACATCTGGAGGCCATGTGCTCCTAAAGTGTTCGAAGGTCGTTCTTCCAAAGCCTTAGCCTTTTGGGCATGTGTTCCTTAGGTCAGTATTCCTTTAGGTCCCTCAACTTTAATCAAATTAGAGCAATGGTCCCTCAACTAAAAATCCGTTATCATTGGTCCGGTTACTCATCAAAATGTGTAGCTATGGTCATTTTCATCAACTTCGTCAAAATTTTGTCAAAATGAGTTATGTTGGAAGGACCATTGCTACAATTGGGGTCCCTCAACTCATCAAAACATGTAGTTATAATCATTTTTATCAACTTCGTCAGAATTTTGTCAAAACAAGTTATGTTGGAAGGACCATTGCTACAATTGGGTTAAAGTTGAGAGACCATTGCTCGAATTGGATTAAAGTTGAGGGACCATTTCTCCAGTTGGATTAAAGTTGAGGGACCAATGGTAATGGATTTTTAGTTGAAGAACCATAGTTGCATGTTTTGATGAGTTGAAGGACCAATGCTAATGTAATTTTAGTTGAGAGACCATTACTCTGATTGAGTTAAAGTTAATGGACAATTGCTACAATTTACTCTATTCTTGACGAACACTTGTGACCCGAAGCATGGGGGCTGGCTTTAGAATAATAGAGATGGAGAAAATTCCAAAAATTTCCATGAATCTTGAAGCCATAGAGTAGTACTCCTCATTCAGTCGCAGATCCACGATTCTTACACATAGGGACTTGTGTACAAGTTTCAAAAAGTAAAAGACGAAAAATAACAAAAAATTAAACGATATTACTATCATTCATAAATTACAGAAAACATCATCATTTTAAGCCACAAGGCCTACAATTATATTAAGCTCATTTTTTGGCTTTTCTTTGGATTCCAAGATTTGAACCAAGAGACCAAAATTTCTCCGTATTCTAGATGATACCAAGGCTTGGATTTTGCGGTCGGACTTCACCTATTCTACCAGCTGCTTAATTGATTCTGGATTTTGGATTTGTTGGAGGATCTACCGCCCTTATCTTTGTAGGTATTTCTGGAGGAAAGAATCTTCCGTCCTCCACGGGCTGCTGTCATGGCACGTCGTCTCTGCTTGCTCAAGCGCTTTACCAGCTCAGCATCATTTCCATTTTCGGTGTCACTATCTCCCTCCTGCGGAAACAAACTATTGTGAGTGCTTTCCCTACCATTTGTGTAATGTAAAACAAATTGATTTTCTTAAGAGTTTGAAGAATAATTATATCACAGTTTATGTTCACTTTCAGTAATTAGTAATTAACTTTAATTTAGCAAAACTGACTTCACTAACAAAATAACAAACTCTTAACAATCTTGACTTAGTTGCTTAGCGTATGCATCCAAACGCTATTTACCCATGACGTAAATATAAGTTACCTAATATCTGCCAGGCCACGATTGACCGTACACTCCAAAGCCTAAATAATCCTAACTTCAATTCCATGTAGGAAGCACAATATAAAGACCATTTCAGGACTTACCTTGTCACTCACATCTTCACATTCAGGTTTACTGCTCGGGCCTGCTTCACAGTTTCTTAGATTGTCCTCTGCTCCTTCCTCTTCCTGCTTTAAATTTGAAGTCTGGTCCTGAATTATAATAACAAAGTGTTAAAGTATGAACTTACAATATGCAAGAAAGCATCTCCAAGTAAATAAGGACCACTGAAATAAAGAACTCAAAATAATTTGCCATAATGTCTCTCCAAGTAAGATGAAATTATACAAGTCAGTCATTTTCACAAGCTGATTTCACTAATCTTCATTTTGGACATAAAGAATCACTTCAGATCTCAGATTGCAACTCAGATCACTTCCATTTCTTCGTGACATCAAAAAGCAATTGAAAAATGTACCTGATCTAACAAATTCAATGAATCAACACCCTCTATGTTTGATTCATTTAACGCAGAGTTGTCTGTGTCATCTTCAGTACCTTCATCACCAGAACTAGCATCCTTATCCAAACTTCCTTCAAAGAACTGGACGTAACAGCATGATATTGAGAACATTATAACAACAAAACAAAAAAACAATATTGGCCTCGCAGATGTCTTGAATACGACTGAAAAAGCATTTTTGGTTAAAATAACTTGATCATAAATAGATAGGACAGTATATTGAGACCACAGAGTGGAATATACACTCGACTCAATAACCCAACAAAATGTTTTCCAAAAGGGTGGAACATCTTCCTTGCAAGAACAATATGAGTGTCCGGCTCTAAAATTCAAATCGAGAATGTATATGAATCTACCATGCTTCACAACTACACAATACCTTCTCAATGTCTTCCTGATCCTTCCTAGTAAACCCACTGGCAGCAAGTTCCTTGTCCAGAAAAACAGCATCCTTGGCTATTGAAGAAAAACAAAGCCTCCTGCTTTCATCTGTGTCTACCTCTGTTCTATCAATATCATCTCTGCACTCTTGAAAATTCATGTTGAACCTGAGAGAAAAGGAAAAAATCTTAACAAGCTAGACAGAACCTTTATCCCCAAACCCCAATATTTTTATCCCCTTGCTACTGGCACATACCCTAACCTCAGGCAGATAAATGAAAAGTAAAAAGACAATGCCATGTACTAATGATCTTAAAGAAAATGATGAAATCAGAGCAGTCAACAAAAAAGCAGAATTGTTCGTTACACAAAGCCTATATGTTATTGTTCAGTGTATTGCTTTTAAACTAATGTTATTAAGAAAATGGTGCCAAATGTCATCTGGATGCATTCCTTCTGTCAACCCAACTAGAAATGCTGTTCAGGGGTTTCACAACCTTGAATATTATATACAAAAATTCAGAAAGTAAAAAGAAATTGCATTAACTTGTTAGTTGAAACAAAAGAACACTGACCTCTTTCTAAAAAACTTAAAGACACATTCAACATCACGGTCAAAGTACCTGAAACACGGGAACTTCATGAGAATACGATATCTGATAAACAAAACCTTTAGGCAAATAAACAAATCAAATCACTTAGAAAATCAACTATAAATGACCGGAACTTGTAAGAAGCGGATCCTACATCTGTGCATTATGATGTGATACAGACACCATCTGTGGAAAATCAATCATGGTGACCTTCTCATCATCATCAATCTAACAGAACAGAAAATTAGAAATTACTTACGAGTTTACCAATGAGTTGAAACAAGAAACTAATAAGGCATTTGGAGTGCCTATATTAACTGAAATACTAATACAACATATAGAAAAACTGTACCAAGTGAGAGCAGAAGTAGGAAACACAGTGTTGTAGAAATAATAAAATATCAGAGACTGCCTTAAATGCATACCATAATGTTAAATTCATTGAAGTCACAGTGAATTAAACCATGTTCTGCAAGGCGAACAACAAGTCCGATGATTGTTTCAAAAACCACCTCTGGGTTCTGCAGTTGCTTCACCTGCACACTGTATAGGACAGAAGTGAATTCCAAAGCTCAAAGCAGCATGATCGTTTTTATTTATTTTTGGTTATTGGCTCAGTATATGCCACATCAGAAGTTAATGTCTAATTAGACAGTGAAACTGACGGAGAGGTAGGAATCAAGTGGTATAAAATGCAAAAATTGAAACTTCATGGCTCATTTTGCAAATGAGTCAAATGACCCACAAACCTTGTGGTGTAAAATGCAGTTAACCCTATTTTTTTTCATTTTCTAATCTTCTTTTCTTCTAAAGCAATCCAGCTCCAAAAGAAACATAAACGAACAAATTACGTCTGGAAATTTCATTGTGTAACATGCTATTTCCAGGGTTTCTAATCCAATTATTATTATTTTTGGTGGGCAAAAGAAATGAAGTTTCAATGCTAACAGATTCAATTATTTGAACCAGTATATTTAAGAAGCTTACAGTGGGTAGCCTTGTACAAGTGACATAATCACACAATGCCTGTTACAATCCACAGCACTTGGAACAGGAAAGCCATGCTCTTCTAAAGCCTGTTCAAGCAGAGCAAAATCATATAGACAAAATCCACATTATAAATCCACAATAGGGCAGCACGAAAAGATAAAAATGCCAAAAGATAGAGACAACTAACCTTCATAAAAGCGAATTCTTTGAGTGCAGCAAGGCGGGACAAGTAGAGCCAACTATAACTGCTACGATGTTTCAAGTAATCACGCTTAGATTTTACAGCCCTAAAAGAAACTCTACCAAGCCGGTGCAACTTCATTGCCATAACCGTACCATCTTCTGTGGCGACCTCAAAGATATCTTGAAAAGAAAACGAAATTCAATCAAGAACAACAACAATGGAATGTATTACTCCACGATTGATAACAGCCTTAATTGGTTAATAAAACAAAAAGAGAAGAAAGAGTACCATACCAGACTCTTTTCCTACGCCAATTTGACGGCCAACAGACACAAAGACTCCACGGTTAACCAGAGTCTTAATTGCAAGAAAATCATAACCAAGGTAGGTGAGTCGAAAACCGTCATCTGGATGCACATGAACATGATAGCAAGGACATAATAAGAGAAATTTTGCAACAAAAATATTGTTTGTTAGACTCAATCAGGACATGTGCATTACATTTAGAAGAGTCGTGATGCAAGAGCTTATGCCTGAGGAGATTCTTGAGAACCTTATAAGTACCACCATGCCTATAAATATAAATTTAAGGATTAGATCATCAAAGTTACAGAAAATGATGACTGATTTCGAATTCAACAATAAAAATTACATACTTGAGCGACGCTATCCGATCCACCAGCTCACAGGGTACGATTTCATGCTGCAAGAGAAATACAAATAGATATGTAAATTAGCTTTAGCCATTAGCTATGACTGAGAAATTAAAACAATTTCGAAAAAAAGGAAAGTAGAGGCATTTACTTACATTTCTCATTCCCATTTCCACAGCAGTTAGAACCCTAAAATCATCTTTGGAAAGGTATCTCAACATGTTCACATCCAGCTTCATTCTGCTGTTTCGCTTTCTCTGCTGCTTATTTGAGCCTTGGGAATCCTAGTGCTGGCTCGGAAGGGGAAGTTCCGATCGGTTCGGTTCGGTCGTCGTGGTGGTTTGCGGCAGTGGTGTCTGATTCGCGGTGCCAGGGTGGTAGTGGCTGAATCACTGGTGTCGGCAATGGCTTTGACGGCGATGAGGGAGAGAGATGAAGGGGAAGCAGGTCTGAGGTGGTGGAGGTCGATGACAGAGGGAGGAGATGGAGAGGGGGAGATGGAGAAAATTGCAGACGGAAAGAGACTGCCGGCGTCGAAAGGGTCTAGGGTTTAGGATTTGTGTTTTCACTTTTCCGCTTGAGTGGTGAATTGCTTCTACCGGGGGGTAAGACCGTCTCAGACCGAGGAGGGCTAGCTGGTCGGTCTAAGAAATTAATATTCTAATAAACAATAAATGATTATATTTTTTATTATCTTCAACCGAGAGGCCACAAGGTTATAGACCAAATATAGTTCTGTGATAAAAAATCATCTCTAATCGAGAGTCAAAGGAATATAGTATAGAATGTAAAGAATTGAAATACAATGAGGTAAGATAGTATGAAATGATGAAAAATATGTGAGAAATGATGTAGGAAAAAATTAGAAATTAAAAAAAAAAAAAAAAAAACAAAGGTGGGCTAGCCAATGGCCTGGCTGGCTGGTTGAAGATGGCTAGCCGGTTGGTTATTTGATTCTTTTTTGTCTCATGGGTAGGGGTGGGCATAAAAACAGCAAAACCGGAAAACCAAATCAAACCGTGACAAAAAAATCATAAAAAATCGCGTTGACCAAAAAAGTCAAAACCGAACCGAACCATTTGAAGCGGTTCCGGTTTGGAAATATTAAGAACCGAACTGAACCGCTTTTAATATAAATTATTGTTTTATTATTATTTTTATATAAACAAGACATTTTTCCAAGAAGACTATGTGCATAAGCCCAATACTTTTCTTCGCTTCTCTTCCCCTCCTTTGTTGTTTTATCACTTTTCTTCCCTACATTATTTTTCTCCATTATTTTCCAGTATATTATGCATTATGTACATTTTAGTTTTAGTTTAAGATCTACATTTTGGTCTTGATATGAGTCTTTCTATCTTTTGATTTAGAGCTCGTTTGGATGTGCTTTTAAACTGACTGAAAACGCTTTTGGTGAAAATATTTTTGAAACAATCGTTAGTAAAAATGTTAGTAAATCCTGGAAAAACACTTAAAGTGCTTCTTGGGAGAAGCACATAACTGGTGCTTCTTGTAGAAAGTACAAAATGTTTTTGTAATTCAAAAATATTTTCTCTAAAAGCACCTTCAGTCATTTTAAAAGCACATCTAGCCCTTATATTTATATGCACACTTTCTATCTTCCGGTCGTTGAAACTCAAATTTACTTGAATTTATTGTTGAAATATGTGTTTGGTATTAGAAGTAGAAAATTAGAAAGAAAAAAAAACATATATATAATTTTGGTTAAAATTGTAAACCGGCATGAATCAAACCAGAACTGTCATGAACTGAACCGTACGGTTTTAATAATAAATTTAAGCAAAACCACACCTGACCGAACCGTTGAAAATTTTCTGTTCCGGTTCTATTTTGAGGGTGGAACCGGGCCGAACCCGATCGTGACCACCCCTACCCGTGGGGCCCACAAGCCCTTTGGCCTAGCCCTTAGTTGGAGACGATTTTCGAGCTATTTTCAGTCATCTGGCCCTCTAGACCCTTCGGTTGGAGATGTTCATTTTAACCCTCTAGCCCTCCAAGATATTAGAATTTTAATGAACAGTACATGGCCATATTTGCCTCCATCTCCAACCAAGGGTCAAAGGGTCATAGGGCTCGTTTTAGCCCTATTACAAAATATCGTTTCCAACCGAGGGCCAAACATAATTTATTATTTAAAAACTACAACTTAAATTCAAATCCAACGGTTAAGTGACATAGAAGTTATAGGAAGTTATAGAAAAAAAAAATTTGAAAATAGAAGTTATATGAAGTTATAGGAAAAAAATTATGTAGAAAAAAAAAATCAAAAATAACAGCTAGATGACGTCAGCTAACTGTTGCATTTGAAATTTAGCCTAAAATTCCTGTCGGATATAACCAACAGGAATATATTTATATTAAATATATTCATGTCAGCTATATCCGACAGGAATGCTAGAATTTCTAGCCTAGCCCTGGGCTGGCTGGCTGGTTGGCCATTTGGCCCTTTCAGATTCTGTGGGGCCCACGACCCTCTAGCCTAGCCCTCGGTTGGTGACGATTTTCGAACTATTTTCGGACTATTTTCGGCCCTCTGGACCCTTCGGTTGGAGATTGCCTAATATTTTAATGAACAGTACAGGGTCATATTTCTTACCATCTCCAACTGAGGGTCATAGGGCTCGTTTTAGTCTTGTCACAAAAAATCGTTTCCAACCGAGGGCCAAATAGAATTTATTATTTAAAAACTACAACTTAAATTCAAATCCAACGGCTAAGTGATGTCAGCTAGTCGTTGGATTTGAATTTTTTTTTTTGCTATAAATAAGGTGAATATTGGGTTATAATTCACACAACTTTGAATTCAATCTCTTTCAATTCAAGTTTGCAATGAATTTCAACTTTGGACCATCTTCCGATTCCAACTGGGGGTCCTCATCCAATTCCAAATTGGAAGAAAAATAGGCGCAGATGAGACGAGAAGATGAGGAGTCTGATAAAGAAGATGAAGCATGGCGCAACGCATAAAATAGAGTAGTAGCCATGGTGCGTCAGCCAACTGCGCAACAACCTCAATAGGGTGGCTCTGTTGTTGGTCGCTATTACAAACCATGAAATAGAGCAATGACGTATGCCAATCTGATGATGAACAACTACTTGAACCCTAACTCGGTGTACACAGAAGAGGATTTCAGACGTTGCTTCCAGATGAGGCGTCATGTCTTTGAGCGTTTACTTCGTGATGTCCAGCAGGTCAATCCATGCTATCGATAGAAATGGGCCAAAGGAGGCCGCCCTGGTTTCTTACCTCATCAGAAGGTTACTGTTACACTCCGAATAATGGCTCCCTAGCTGATTCGATGGATGAAACTCATGGTATGTCTGAATCTACATGCCTTGATACTCTTGAACAATTCTGTGTCACAATTGTTCAGGTTTACAAAGACGAGTACCTCCGTGAGCCAAATCAAAAAGATCTAGATCAGCTCTTTCATAGAGTTGAAGACCGTGGGTTTTCGGGCATGATAGGGTCATTAGACTGCATGCATTGGGATTAGAAGAATTGTCCCACCGGATTACAAGGAGGCTTCTGCGAAAGGTCGAGAAAGTCAACTATCGTGTTAGAGGCGATTGCCTCGTATGACACATGGATCTGGCATGTTTTCTTTGGAGTCCCTGGATCCCAAAATGACATTACAATTTTTGGGTGTTCACCCCTCTTCAATAGCCTGACAGAAGGTAAAGCACCTCAACTTGGCTACTACATCAATGGCCGTCAGTACAATGTAAGGTATTACTTGGCAGATGACATCTACCTAAAGTGGGTGACATTTGTCCAAACAATTCCAAACCTTAGGAGTGACGCCAAAAAGTTGTTTACCTTACACCAAGAGGCGTACCGAAAAGATATTGAGAGAGCTTTCGATATTCTACAAGCACAGTGGAAGATCATCAGCGAACTAGCAAAATGGTGGAGTTGAGAAAATTTGGACTCCATCATGATGTCTTGCATCATATTACACAGTATGATTGTGGAGGATAAGTTAGATGGGTATATTGATGAAGAGTCCGATGACGACTAAGATGATCCAAATAGGTCAAGAAGGGCTCGTGCAAAAATATATAACTGGCCTAATTTGCCTTTCAATCCAAGAACTGGTAGTAAGCGCGATTGAATGATCTTGTTGCACATCTTTGGGCCAAAAATAGCATGGAGTAGGCGTTTAAGTTTTATGTTGTTAAATATTTTTAAAAATGTTGTTTAAGTTTCATGTTGTTAAATGTTTTTTTTTTATAATGTTATGTTGTTTAAGTTGTTAAAGTTTTTTAAAAATCTTTGTTCATGTTGTTTAAGTTGTATTTGTTTCATGTTACTTAATGTTATGTAATGTTTAATGGTTTAGAAGTTATAGGAAAAAAAAAAGAATTTTTAAAAATTTTAAAACAAATTTTGTAAAAAATAAAAATAACAACTAGCTAACGTCAACAGTTAACCGTTGCTTTTTTAAATTTCAGCCTGCCCCGGGGCAGGCTAGCTGGCTGGTTTAGGCCGGCCGATTGGCCCTATGGCCCTTTTTTGTCCAGTAAGGCCCACGAGCCCTCTGGCCTGGTCCTCAGTTAAAAATCGTTTTTGGGCTATTTTTGGCTCTCTAGCCATCTGGACCCTTCAGTTGGAGATGGTCTAAGGGCTTCGAATTGTAACATCTGTTATAATTTTATTTTATAATACAACCATTTTCCACTAAGAGGTGGGGTTCATAGGCCAACAAAAATAATTTGGTTCAAACTTACTTCGTCGAGAATAAAACTTAAGATCTCTCACATACAATTGAAGATAAATATTATTAAGTGACTCCTTAAATAATATTTAAGATTATATAAGAACTATAAATACAATACCATTAGTTATATGAGTTAGTTCGGTTTTATCACCGGTTTAGAGACCTGGAATTGATTCCACAATGGCTCAGGTCGATTCCATAATCAATATTGATCAATAATCGACATTCTGGTACACAAGACCATGAATTAGAAAGTGCATAAAACCAACCCAAAATTATAAAGTTGCAAATCCAAATATGGTTGAATGGTTGGTTTATTTTTTGTGCATTATGTGGAGGCATAAATTAACCAAATAGAAAAAGGACACGTGAACGTTACACTCGCCATGACGGTTTTACCTTTGACATTGTGAGCAGACCAGAAACCACTCAAAGGAACGTGGCATTTGTATGCCCTCCATGAGGGACCGTGACTCTTCGTCTACCCACTCACCTCTAGCATCTTCTTCTCACCATAGTGGAAAGATAAAAAAACTTTGCGTTGGTGCCTCCGTCCTTTAACAAATTAATTCTCGAGCGTTGATTCCAGTGTTGTTCTTCCTACTCCGTAATTCAGATAGCTAGTTGTTTATCTCAGTTTCACATACATAACTTTGTGCACACATGAACGAGCCTATAAAATTGTCAATTCTTATGTCCACCAAATGTAATATTTTTTCACTCATTTTATAACTAAAATATGGATGACAAAAGAGTATAATGTGAGTATAAAAAAAAACCGAGTTGGTGGACTGTGGACATAATAGCACTCTCTTCCTCATCCATCTGAAAACATTTTGTGTATGGACACGGTTTTGTAGTAAATGTAGAGTCCTAAAATGATCC